TTTTCCGAATTGAAAGTAAAGGACCTAACTCTCCTTGAGAGCGCATTTTCAGCCATCGGTATTTTATAGGCAGCAGATGTTGTTGCGGCTCTGACCGGGCAATTCACAACAAAAAATGTGGGAAACAGAGAAAGAATGCATCCTATCAATGCATGTAAAGCACAAGATAACAATATTACCTCGCTGTCTTGCCATATTTGTCGTGCAGCCACAGAAGAGGTCCTTTGACGATGACGAACATGGACCTCGTCAGAGCACTGAATCGGGAGCGGCTCCTCACGAATCCATTGTCGTTGGTCACTCCTAAGACTCGTGGAGGGCAGTAGAGGCGGAACAGCATGAAAGATATTGTTGGAAGAGGAAGTGCATGAAGATTGACGAAGGTCCTTCCCAATGGGGAGAAGGGAGGAGCTTGAAGAGGTTGCCGCTACATGGGGATTCAGACCTCCTGGCAACGAGGAGCTTGTGTGCGGGGAGCCGGCAAAATTTTCTCTTTCGGAAAATTGCTAAAATTTTGCAAATTAACTGTCATTATTTCCTCAGCACTGTCCATTCTATGATTAAAGGAGACAATCGTTCAACTGGATATTTCATAGGGGAGAAGTAGATTTTATTTGCAGGCAAATGTGACGCAAGAGTGCAGCTTAATTCGTCCCCATGCCACTAACGAAATCTCATTAACGAGGGCCTTCGTCACATTGACGATAACCATCGACCCAATCTAATCGGACTGTTGCCTTTAAGTGCTGAGGGAGGAAAAATGCTTGTCTTTGTAGCGAAATAAATGCAACCCAGATAAACAACTACTACGCTACAATTTTTTTAAAACATAGAGCACAGTTAACAATACTATGAATGTTTGACTGTGGAAAATGCTCTTGTCTTGTGGGTAAATAAATGCGCACCTTATGGAACCTTGAAAATAAGACAAACAGACTCCTTTTCAAACGAGCTTCTTGACCATGACATGCCTTTTGAAAGGCTACCCGTCATTTTGTGTAGTGGGATCACATGGAAAATATGAGATGGCTTTTCTCCTTCACATAGCCTCAAAAACAAAGCACTTAATATACAGTCATTGACTCCGAGCACAACTAACTATCATTGCCCAAGTGGCTTCTAACGTCAGTTCCCAACATGTTTCCCCAACTATGTAGCTGCTGAGTGTCTGCTAAGCAGAGTGGGAGAGAACAGTTGAACAACCATGAACCACCACACTTCACTCTTGATTTTGATAACATAAGGATTTCATTATGGAAGAGGGTAGGTGCGATGTCCACGAATCCAAGCCTCGCCCTCCTTAATACAATGCGTGACTCGTATCCAATGCCCATTGACCTTTCGAAAGAGTGCACTTAATGGGGAATGGATGCCGCAAAATGATTTGTAGGTTTTTTTTGTACAAAATATGCAACTGCCAATGAGATGATGGTGCATCTAGGATTAGACGTTATGCACGCTGGCCTCTGGCTCGCATACTGTGGATTGACAACATCTCTTCCAACTTTAAGTCGGTGCTAGGATCATCTGCCTGCACCTTGAGTGACAGTCAACTACACCACATGTCGTGACTGTCACACGTTGTACGGCGGTAGTGGTGACAAATGTGGGATTAGTTAAAACTCCTCTTCATCAATCATAGTGGACCAACTTAAACAGAGCATGTCAAAAGTGGCTCTCTCAAGTAGCAACACACCCTTCCATGCAGTCAAGACATCATGCGCAATTAACTCACGGTCTCATCAAAACTATAGCCATTTTTTTGGTGAAAGACAGGAGCTGTGCTGGTCGGAAGGGAGATTTTGTGTTCTGTCGCGACCAAACCGCTTCGAAGGTGACGAACAGGTGAACCGGTAGAAGTAAGAGAAGGAGGAAAGTAGGCAAAATCATTGTCTTTGTTGGTGTCGGGAATTCGAGAATCTGATTCACTGACACCGAGCAAATCGTCTTCTGGTGGAAGTGGAACACCATTACTTGCTAAATGAACAAATGGAAATGTTTACATCGACTTAAAGGCGCCTTCTTTTGTACCATTCGCCTAAACTGTCTTACCTTTGTTTTCCTTTCATACAAATAAATTTTACTTTACTAAAACTCACTAGCTACAACGAGGTCCGGATCATAAGTGGAGCATTTAAAATCTATTACAGTGAAGTGATGCCCTGAACCACAAATTGTGTCCTCTAAATGTTTACCTCCTGCCCAAAAACATTTGCAAATCTGGAAATCTGAGACCGAAGGAAAGGAGAGATGCTATACAGTCCTTTCACTCGATCCCACAAGTTCCTCCTTTTGTGGCTTAACAGCTGGAAATTAGACATCTTTGCAGTGCATCCATTCGCTGCTCTCCCCATGAAAAATGTCTTTGTGCATCGGTACACATGCAATGTCCCGTAAAGGTAACTACAACGACTAATTTGTCTCTCAATGCCAGCCTTGGATACCCAGCATTTCCCTTCCTCTCCATGAGGGAAAGGGTAAAAGAAGCATTCCTCCATGCCAACACCACAGTGCTGTCTGAAAAGTACTTGACGCTAATGACAAAGCAATATCCCCCACACCTATGCTTAAATTAAAGGATTTTGTTTTTCTCTGCCTCACAAATACTTTCCCAGTTAGACGAAATCACTCTTGAGGGAGGAGAGGTGAATGTAAGACAACTAAAAGAAGCCAAAATCTTGACTTGGGGGGTTGGATGATCGAATGTTGAATATTTATTGGCTGACAAGTTGCCTTGACAAGAAGCTACAATAAAATTTTTCTATTATTTATTTATTTTGGCTGCAAGTAAAAGTAAATTGCATGTATAAAAATTTGGCCCTAACTGCCACATTTTTGGAGAGGCAAAATCCCCTCCAATTGTCCAATGACTTAACTTAATCCGGTGGTGTTACCGAAACTATTCATTTCATTTTGGCATTCGATGCGCCACTCCCATTATTCATTAAAATGTCAAAAGAAAAAAAAAAGGATTCCCTTCAAGTCTAAGGCACGAAATGAGGTGAGGTTAAATAAAATCATAAAGGCGCCGCAAATTGCCCTAAAATGGTTTTCCTGCCCAGCGTTCGACGCAGGGGAATAAAAATTTACGCAAGTGAAGTGTTGGGAGGGCCAATCAGTACCATCAAAACTTGAATTATGCACTTTTAATTGTCTTAGGAGTATGCTTTTTTTTCTACCGTTCCCTCGAATTGGTTTCAAATTGCACACCTTCGCTCCCTTATCTCACACCCTTGCGGTGTTGTCTGCTTCCACCTCGAGCAGAGGTGGCTGCAATCAGCCAGTCCAGACATGGCATCTAAGGTGGTTGTCCGTAAGAGTTTACGGTTAAGTTATTAAACATTTTAGTCCATAAACTCATAATAGACACACTTGTAGAAAAAAGAAAACAAAAAA